CGACAAAGTTATAAGCAAGAAATATGCATATTTACTTACCAATCGCCAACCACTCAAACCAAATCTACCATCCAAACTCGCAATAGCAAATGCTAAAAGACCATTAAATGCACCAGCAATTGTAGCACCAGAAAAAAACAAACTAAAACGATAACTTTGTTCAGATTTCTTGTACCATTTTGTAATGTAATATGCGACTCCAGGGGCAAGACCAGATTCAAAAACGCCCAATAAAAATCTTGCAACCATCAATTGAGAAAAATTCCTTACCTTAAAAACAATTCATGATTTAAATCGTGAGTTGATTAGCTTTAGTATTAAAATATATTAACATTTAGAATATATATCATTAACACTTACAAATGACATTATTGTCATTACAATACCCCATGAGATCATGAGAGTTGAAACTATAAAATGAAATGAACGATGAGAATAAAATCCACAGGACCAACTAATATATTGTATAACGTATAACAATAACTCACTCCAAATTGAAGGTTTGATCTTGATTAGCAAGATATTAGATGGCACTTCAAATAATACGTAACCTCTGCAAACGTAAAATGACACAATTTAAACTCTGAAACTAAGTAGACAATTCATTTGTCTAGAATAATAGAGAAAACAAAAAAGACTTACAAAAAGAATACGCCTAAAGACCAGTTATATTCATTTCCAGATAAATTGAGATCACGCTCCAAATGGGCTAATTTCGCGTTCCCAATATTGACCCTAAAGCAATAAAAAAAAAAATACGTAATATAATGATTTTGTTACAAAAAAAATTTTAATTAGATAAAATTTTAAGGATATTGTAATTTATCGCTATAGCGATGTATTGCTACCCTGATCGACCAATTAGAATGTCAGATCAGGTGTAACGTGAAATCGAAACAAAACATTGAATTTTCTGACAAATTGTTCATAACTCGAGATTTTGTTTATGAAACCACCTCTTATGCTCTTATTAAAAAAATTCTTTGCTTAAAAAACCTATTTATGTCTAACCTTAGTCTAATTCTAACCCTAACCTTTAACGCATTGTTATTTATTGTTTTGATTTTCACGTTACACTTGATCTTATGGGTGGCGATACATCGCATAGGCGAAAAAAAATAAAATCCAAATTTGGATTATATTAAACTACAATATATACCTATCCAAGAAACAAAGAGTATATAGAATCGTAAGCACAGGTATGATTCTTATATCAACCTTTTTCAATAATCTTTTTTCATTGGCATTTGTAACAATATCATTATTTGAATTTTTTGTGAATTCAACTATCTCT